CTTCTGGCTAATAAGTGATGTCTGTCAAGAAGACACTGAAGGAACCGATATTATTCCGTCAATAAATTCTGATCATTCTCCGATCATTCTTCACTTCAACAATATAGACCGGCATTCTGGAAATTTAACGCTAGTCTACTTAATGATGAAAATTTTGTACTTTTAATCAACCAAAGTGTTCCGCTTTGGCTAGATGAGTTTAAAGAGGTAATCGAAAAGAGTATTATGGGATTTGATTAAGTACAGGATCAGACAGGTAACGATAAAATATAGCAAGGAAAAAGCTCGACAAAGAAGGCAAAAGATATCTGATATTGAAAACTCTCGCAAAGTCTTGGAGGAAAAGTGCGGCAATAACCCTACTACCGAGAATATTGAACAACTTGAAATTTTGAAATTGGAACATGAAAATATTTATGAGGAATTTTCAAAGGGAGCAATCATTCGCTCGAAGGCAACTTGGTATGAAAAGGGAGAGAAAAGTAACAAATATCTCCTCAAGCTAGAATCTCATCGGAAGGCTAAAAGTTCAGTTCGTAAGGTTTTTATCGGAGAAGAATTGTTAGTCACTGACCCTAAAAAGATTTTAGGGGTTGTTGAAGGCTTTTATTCTGGTCTGTATAAGAAGGACGATCTAGAACCTTCTGAAAATCTGATGAATAATTTTTTGGAAAATCCGCAAATTCCTCGTCTCTCTTTTGACGATTCTCAAGTGTGTTAATGGAAGTTAACAATTGAAGAACGTGTGAAGAGTCTCAATTCTTTTGAACCCAATAAATGTCCAGGCAACGACGGGTTAACAGTTGGATTTTACAAATTTTTTTTTTTGGAACATAGTTGGGGAATTACTGGTAGCCAGCCTCAACTACTCTTATGACGTCGGAGAATTATCAAACTCACAAAAGAAAGCAATTATATATAATATTATTGGAAAAGAAAGATAAGGATAAAAGACACATATCTAACTGGAGACCAATATCTCTGATCAATGTCGATGCTAAAATAGGATCGAAGGCGATCGGTAAAAGGCTGGAATGTGTTCTGCCCAATATTTATACATTTTAACCAATGTGCATATGTTAAAGGCAGGACTATTTTTGATGCGGTTAGAACAGTAGAAGACATCTTAGAGTACACTGAGAGATTTAAAATCAACGGAAGATTGATAGCTATAGATTTCAACAAGGCTTTTGATTCTGTAAGCAGAGAATTTTTTTTCGTACCCTATCCGCTGTTCGTTTTGGCTCTTCTTTTATCCAATGGATTCACACTTTTTATAATAATATTTCTAGCTGTGTTTCAAACAATAGTTTCGCTACCGCAAATTTTGACATTCATTTCTCCGTACCTGTTTATTATCGTGTTAGAAACTTTGGCTTCAACGATAAGGTCAGACAATGATATTCGAGGTATCATGGTGGATGGTCAGGAGATCAAATTTGGGCTTTTTGCTGATGATTTAACAGGGTTTTTGAAGAACGACAAATCCCTAAGAAAGTTCCTTGAACTTGTCTTGCAGTTTGGTAAATGCTCTGGGCTCGTTATAAACCATGATAAGTCGGAAATATTGTTACTTGGAAACTGAACGGAAGATTGATAGCTATAGATTTCAACAAGGCTTTTGATTCTGTAAGCAGAGAATTTTTTTTCGTACCCTATCCGCTGTTCGTTTTGGCTCTTCTTTTATCCAATGGATTCACACTTTTTATAATAATATTTCTAGCTGTGTTTCAAACAGTAGTTTCGCAACCACACATTTTGACATTCAGCGTGGCGTTAGGCAGGGGGAGCCTCTTTCTCCGTACCTGTTTATTATCGTGTTAGAAACTTTGGCTTCAACGATAAGGTCAGACAATGATATTCGAGGTATATCATGGTGGATGGTCAGGAGATCAAATTTGGGCTATTTGCTGATGATTTAAAAGGGTTTTTGAAGAACGACAAATCTCTAAGAAAGTTCCTCGAACTTGTCTTGCAGTTTGGTAAATGCTCTCGTCTCGTTATAAACCATGATAAGTCGGAAATATTGTTACTTGGAAACTCTTTCCCCGCGCCCCCAACCTTAATCATACTCCTTTTAGAGACCTAAAGATAAAGATTTCCGTAAAGATTTTAGTGGTATATTTCACGTATGATCACCGTCTCAGACGCAAACTTAATTTCGATGAAATTACAAAAACCATTAAGGATAAGTTAAGAATTTGGAAATGGAGGGATCTTAGTATCATTGGTAGAATTCAACTGGTCAAAATATTTATTATCCCCACTTTCTTATACCGTGCTTGCGGCTTAATTTGTATGGATAAAGAATTTGTAAATGAAGTAAACAAAATTATATTTGACTTTATCTCCACACTTAAGCTCCACACTTGGATTCTATTATTAAAACTCAAAGAATATTATGCTGTAAAAAACTCGCGAGTGAAGACCTTAGTAGCTGGAAAATTATTCTTCTTCATTACCTAAAACCAGTAGGTGGCAAATTTATCCTTGGCTGCAACTTCGATGTAAAAAAGCTGCCTATCAAGCTTCCGGGTTTTTATGAGGTATTTTTAAAGGATTTTTCGCGATGCTCCGCAGCAAACAAGGTTAGTCTAGACAATATTAATGCAGTGGATATTTCAAAGATCAATCTGAGGAATAATTATTATATCTTAATTGGTGGTAAAACCGTTTTCAACAAAAGATTAGCAGATAAAGGAATTGTAAGAATAGGGGATCTTATCGCTGAAAACGATAAAGTCATAACGAGCAAGCTAAGGGAGTTAAATTTATCCCCATTGGACGCATTTCAACTTTTTTCAGTGATCGACGCACTCCCGAAGGACTGGCGTGATGCGTTGAAGAGTTATGGATATGATCGCCTTGTTTCTTTCGATCTTCACGAGCAGACTCAGTTGTTTTTATCTGGTAAAGAAGTTTTATTAAGTAATCCTGACTCAAAAGGCATCTATAAAAAAAATTAGAGACGGAGAAATTGTTCAACCAACTGCGCAAAAGAAATATGTTGAATTTTTTGAAAATGATGATTTAAACTGGAAAGAAATTTACAGCTTACCCTACCAGGTTGCCCTTGACACTTATTTACGTGAATTTCAATATAAATTGTTACACAGATATCTGGCCACCAATGATTTTATAAACAAAATTGGTATTTCTTCATAACCACGATGTTCTGTGTGCGATGGGGCGGATGAATCCCTTGAACGCCTTTTTGTCTCTTGCCTGATTACTCAGAGTTTTTGGGCAGAGGTTATTAAATGGTGTAGCAATCGGGGGGTGGCTATTAACCATCTCTCTGCTAAAGATATATTATTTGGGATAAAGGTGCATAAAGACAATTTATTTATTAATCATATTTTGCTAGTTGGTAAGCAGTATATATATAATTGCAGGTGCACGAAAACAAACCCTTGTTTACGGGTTTTCTTGGCAAGACTCAATAGCGTTTATCAATTAGAAACTATCATTGCCAAATCGAAGAATAAAATGTCTTTTCATTTATCGAAATGGCAAGCACTCTTGACAGGTGGTACACAATTGCCGACAAATACTTGTTAAGGTTTAGTAGTATTGATACTGTCGTTGTGTGTCGTGTGTGGTGCGTACGTGTGTGAGTTATTTGTGTATTATTTCTTTAAAAATTGTAATGTCGGTAAAGTATGTAAAAATTAATGTTATTATTGTAAGGCAAGAAATTGAAATAAACAGTGATTAAATTCCAAAAAAAAAAAACAACAACAACAAAAAAAACACGCGTACTGCTTCTGTTATGCACATTCCCAAAGTCTCACCTCGCCAAGAAACGACCGCAAGCATAACTCCAGTAGCTTTTCTCTTCAGTAAACTTCATTTTAATAATGTTACTGAGATGCTCTTTTTTACGGCGGCCATCTTGTTATGCGCAGTAAGAGATGCGCAGTGCAAAAACAAGCGAATCACCTTAAACCGCTAATCAGTAAGTTCCTTTGATTCGAAGGGGCACATCGAAAATCACTTCAAAATACAAACATTACTTTTGTCCAATTCGCAGTTTTAAGCCCAAAGGATATGTATTTGGTCATACTCTCTCAGCTTTCGTTCGCCAGACGTAGTTAATCGATAAATTGATAATCGATATTAACCGATAGTCAGTAATCGATATCAATCATCGATCGATTTCCGATATCAATCGATAGAAATCGATAAAGAAAAAAAGGTCCAACTTCGATTAAATCTATGATGATTTTTATCGATTGTATCGACTACTAAATATCGATTCCTATCGATTGTTATCTTTCCGAAAGATTGTTATCGATGTTGTTAATTGATAATAATCGATAAATTGTTTTTTCTGTGACTTCGATTTCTATCGATTTCCGATACTAATCGATATTAATCGGCCGATTAAATCGATTAATTTCCGATATCGATTTTTATCGATTAACTACGTCTGGCGTTCGAGTCATCAATTATTGTCTTTACGGAAACAAGAACAGAATAGCCCACGTTCGATATAAAATTCTAACATGACTCCGAGGCTTTAGGGTCAAAATTGCAAACTTTTTACGACTCCATTGTGTCGCAATTACCAGAAGAGAATTGAACACAAAGAAAACCAAACCAAAATATAGAAAAATGACTAGAAAGCCTCGGACTTTTGTTAGAATTTTAATATATCGAACGTGGGCCATTGTATTGTTCAGACGGCTTAGAAATTTGACTAATATCAGTCGTTCTATATGACATAATGTAAATCTGCGTTTTACAATTCGCCACTTACACATCTGCCATAATGCCCCCCCCCCAAAAAAAAATGCAAAACCTTTGCTTTTCATTTCTCCTGACAATTGCAGTCGTCCCAAGAGAAATTAAAAACAATGCTGGTGCAAAATAAGGTGCATTATCGGAGACTTGCTTGACTTAGTTGGTAGAGCTACAGTAGATCTAATCCTGGTATCGTGGGTTCCAATGCCACCGGTAGAAACAGCGGGATTAAGCCAGTTTTTTTCAAACTTTCAGGAAAACCCACAAAAAACGAACGCAGCGACAAAACACCTTTAACCCTCTTACAGGCTCCGCGGTATAGTCGCTACTTTGTGTCAAAAGATCAACCCGTAAAACTGACATGGGAAGCTACAGACGTATGCAAGATTCAGATCACTTGTAATGGAGATAAATTTAATGAGGGAGACGGAAGGGCCGTAAGAGAGACTTGTCAAGCTTGGAAAACTAAGAAGAAGACGAGGACAATAAAATTTTCTGATTTTCCAAGAGGTAGCAGGACCATGAATTGTCAGGCTAAATTCTGGGGGATAAACTCCACCAAGACGGAGAAGATAACTTTGACGAAAGTCTGTAAGTATTATTTTTCGCCTCATGTAAGGGAATTGGGATTCCGGAATCCGGGAAATTTTTTCTTGTAAAATCAGGAATCCTGGGCTTTGGAATTGTGAGTTCAATGAATCTGGAATCCTACTAACGACTGGAATCGGGAATCCAAGTTCCACTGACAGGAATTCTGGATTCAATTCCACGCACTGTCTTGGATCACGTTAAATGAGGTGATATATTGGAGCTGCATTGCTGCTATATAATACTCTCTAGAATTTTAATTAGTGTAGGGGTACAAACCCAGTCGAAGGCACCAGTTTCTGGAGGTTCCTGTCAGTAAAGTGTTCGTTGAACGAAACATCGGGTGATGTCTGTTCGAATTAAGGCTTTTCATTTAGCTCTCTGCATGAAGTCTCAGCGAACGATTTCAGGCCGCTGATAAACTGTGGTTATGTTTTGCAGTTCTTTTCCGGAACTTTGGAAAAGTCAAGTCGCATCACGTAGTATATGCAAACGCTACTGTGATACTTCTCTGTAAGCCTCCAATGGGTTACCCGCCACCGAATATCACGTGGTACAAAAATGGCGAACCACTTTTCTTTTGCTGTGGCAGAAGCTTGCGAGATTCTGCTAAAACGTTGGTCATAAAGGGCGTGAGCAAAAACGACTCGGGCGACTACCAATGTGTTGCCCTGAACATGGCGGCGCGCCGACAAGGGCCAATGATAACCCTCAAAGTTCGCGGAGGTTAGTCATGTTTCTGTTTTCTCTTTCGTTCTATGAATTCCGTTCTCAAACGTCTCATTTAATTCTAATTTTCTTACATTAAAGTTCAATTGTTATTTGACCTTCTTAACCATTTTGGCAGGGATTTTGATCTTGAAATGCACTGCTTTGAGCTCGAACCGGTCCCAGATTTCAGGAGGCAGACCCTAATCTGAATCCAAGAGCTTCCTGTCCAAGGACAAAAATCTGAAACCAAAGCTGAGCCATACGATTCCTAACCTTGAATCGCTCATGCGATCTTGTTTTTAAATTTCATTTGAAGACGGTTACTCTCTAACGCGGTCGGAAGACTGATGCCTTTTTGTTTTATCTCAGTAGTCAGTGGCAACTTGTTTACCACAGTTAGGTGAAAACATGGGAAAGAATGTCTGGAGTAATTGGTTTATTGCTAATTTGACAAATTAGGGGCACATTTCCTGCAGCTGAATAATTAGAAAGCGTATCCAAATTTCGAGAGAAAACGAAAAACCATCTTATTTGCCTCATCCATGTTTTCGAGCAATGTCGACTGAAGGCATGAATCAAAAAAGTGATACACAACTTGTAGGTGGAAATCATTGGATTTAATGTATATCTTCTTTTACTTAGAGTTGTTAACAACATTAAACTAGTAAATCTCTAAGCTCTTTAGTTATCCAAGCACATGCCGACGCGATTTCCATAGACGATGATGAGGGACAAATTGTCTATTGTTTTTTCATCTCTCATTTATTTAGTAACTGTTGAAGTTAGAAAAAAGAATGTCTCGGCTTCTGATTGTAATAAGAGTAAAGTGAAATGCTATGGTGAGGCAGCGGATGGTTACAAAAACGGAAGCAACAAATCGGCCAGTTGGGGTAAGATACACTGATTTCTCTCTTCGTTAATTAAGCCTACCTCATTATGCCTTCTGCACTGGGTTTCACTAGAACAAGCAAGACTAGATATGTTAATGCTTGATGGTCCTTGATCATAATACTCCTCACACCCTCCCAAAAATTGGAAGAAAATAATAATAATAATAATAATAATAATAATAATAATAATAATAATAATAACAATAACAGAAGTAACAATAAATTCGGTTAACACTCACTTATCTCATCATAATATTTTAAATCAGGGCTTAACTCGCCAAATCACATAATTTTTGTGTTTTTGTAGTTGTTCCGTGCTCCGGGTAACTGCCTTTTCATCAATGTACAAAGGCTAACGCTCAGGGGATTTTCTATTTTCTATTTTTTTTTGGAGGGGGGGGAGGGAGGGAGGGAGGGGTTCTAAAACACTTTCTTTACTCAGCAAGGTTAACTCTGAAATTCACCATTGCTTCTTTTCAGCTTCATATTCACCCATGCTAATTGTTGGTAAAGAAGATGAGATTGTCACATATGAGCTGCAAAATAATTCATGGACAAGAAGATCGCTATTCCCAGCGAAGGATGTAGCAGGGCTAGAGTGCGCCCACGATAAACGTCACATATACTGGTCAGACAGAAAAGAGATAAATGAACTCTCCTTAACCACCACCTTCAGTGAAATATCTTCTCTTCATCTCGATCGACTCAACCCTGCACCGTCACCGAATTCCCTTGCCTTTAATTGGATTGATTTTCAGTTATACTGGGTTGATGCCAAGGACATTTATCTCGGAGATTTGCGCAATTGGAGAATAGTTCGACTAATTGAAGGAAAACTTGATATACCAAAAGCTATTGCTTTGAGTCCTTCAGATGGGTAAGTAGAAATTTGTACGGCGATTTTGAGTACATTCATCATAGGCAGTTTGCTGTAAAGCAGCAACTGTAGGTAATTAACCACTCTAATCATCCCTGTGTTTTGGAGTATGCTGTAGAAATTACTTCCTTTTCCTTTCTGAATGTCAGTGTTGTCATCGCTCGTAGGGGGATTACATTTTATCTGGTTCTGGTTCCTCTTTGTCTAAATGAAGGATTTGGAAAGCAAAATAGCTCGGTTTCTTTGGTGCACTTCGTCCCACTGGGTGTTAAACGTTTGTCCGTTTAAATATTGTTTTTCAGTTTGTCAATTATTTTCAATCACATTCAATCGAGAGCTCATGCCAAGCTTGAAGTTCGATGAATTAGGTAGGGCTCTCAAAGCTGTTTCAAGGTCCAACATGTCATCTTTCAGACCTTTTAAGGTTTTGTTGCTATGTACGAGTGGTTATTGTGTCAGTCGCGATTTTGTGTGTGTCTACCCTGGGTGCCAGAGACTTTTCTAGCGCGGTTTCCGGTTTCTGTCAAGTCTTCATAGTGACCCGCGCGAAAAGCGAAAAGTTTTTCTCGCGGCTTCGGCCTAAGGCCGAAGATGTGTCGGCCTTCGGCCAACACCGAAAATTCCCGCCGCACGCGAGAAAAACCTCTGGTATCCAGGGTAGTGTGTGTCACACTGATCTAGTTTTTTTATTCTTTTTCAAAGTTTTATTTACTGGGCGGTCTGGGGCCAAGTACCAAAAATTATGCGCGCAAGACTAGATGGAACAGAGAGAAAAGAACTTATTAACAAAGGTATCACTTTTCCGCAAGCCCTGGCACTCGACGAATCAAACAGGAGGCTTTTCTGGGCTGGAACTGACGAAACAAAATCACAAGGAATAATAGAATGGGTATCCCTAGATGGTTTAAACCGCAATGTCACATTCCGCAGTCCGGGTTATTGTCCGTATAGTTTGGATATCTATGAAGGTTTTGTGTACTGGGCTGACCGGAGAAAGAAAGCTATTCTGCGCATCTCATCCAGAGGAGGTGAAGAAGAGATGGTCATTACCAGCTTAAAAAGGCCAGTGGGAGTAAAGTTTTGCCAGGAGCGTACCGAGTTTGAAAATAATCATGGTAGGACTTTCAAGGAAATTTATATCCTTACAATAGACGAGGCACTGGGCGGGGACTGGGCTAAGGTTGTTGCTGTGTTGTATTCTTTTGAATCATTAAACCTTTATTAGTAAAATCTAACTAGTGGTCTATTATCAATGCTGCGTTCTGATTGGTTGAGCTACCACTAGGCTATATGTTATAGCCCCTAGTAGCAAAAAGCGCGGGTTTTTTGGCGGCAAAAAAGAATTAAAGTCTACCTTTTAACTAGCTAAAATATTTTTTATTCTCGATATATTTGACCAGCTAGTTGGATTTTACTAAATCAATTATTCCTCTCGCCCTCATGGCCTCTGAGTCAATAGCCCATTCGGATTCGAGGAATAATTGTTAAATACATAGCTTCTAATCAGTTGTATGACATGATGTAAAATAATGTGAGACTTTTTGTGAGGACCTGTGACGTCATTTTAAATGGCTTTCGTTTGGCCACATTTTATCTAAGCTGAATAGAGTTAAATTCAGCCTCTTTCATGCTTAGCTCTAACACGTTTACTTTTCTGCTTTGGCACTTAAAAAATTGCTTTTGGCCAAAAACGGTAAGAGGACTTAAATTTTTTCTATAGGCTACCTTTACACATTCCACTTATGACATAATATTTTATAAGCATAGCAACTAATTATAGCCAATGTTTGCTCAATTATGGTGTACAGAATATATGAGAACAGTTTCTGGTGAAAAGAAGGATGATACCAGGTTTTCGTAATAAAGTAAAAATACACGTTGAGGGATTACATCTAATCCCATCACCCCCCCTCCATTTACCTCCTGTAGCTTTAAGTTAATTTCCTCATTTTTGCTAGAGAATCCTTGTGATCAGAACAACGGTGGTTGTGACTACCTGTGCGTGAATCTACATTTCGGTAAACGTCCGAGATGTATGTATAAAAAAGATGCGAAAAAAAGATGCGAAAGTACACAAATACCTCAAGGTGAGTGTTTTGTTGGGCCACTTAAAAAATATATCTTTGTCAGTAGCGTGCTAAGACACATTGAGTTTTAAAATGCCTTTTTAATTATATATAGGGTCCGAAATTATATTTGTACAGCCGCTTAAAGATTATCAGTTATTCGTGTCGTCATACCGGAAAGGTATTTTTTAACTCTTTTCTCTTGCTGGTGCTTACAGTTACCAGCGGTAATTCCGAGAATGTAAGCAAGACTGACAACCGTCTGCCCTGTCTGCTCAAAAATTGTTAGACTGTAAGACTACTTGTTTGAGTCGTTTTACCTTTGTTGTATACACTTGATAAAATGTAGCTTTCTCCGTGGGTGGCGTTTACTACTATAAGTTGTAACTAGGCGATATCTGAACTCAATAAAGAGATGGAACTAATTATGATATTAATAATCTTTTGACTTCCAGCAGGAAAGAACAAGATTTTTGTCGTCATGATTATTGTCGTCGTGATTATTGTCGTCGTGCTGTTGTTGGCGCTGCTACCAGCGGTGTACACTGTTAAGAAACACTTCTCACACTTCACACAAGTAGATAAGAACGTTAGGGAGGACATAGGAGAGGAGCTTACCACTGAGCGCACGGGTTTCCTACAAGAAAATTTGCCCCCATCGTTTGATGCGTCAGCAGTGTTGAGTCAACAACTTTGCAATGCTGAGCCTTTAGGAGCTGGTGAAACCGGAGAAAATTCTTCGGTCAGAGTGAGTTTTGGCTTGGTTGTTTTTTACATTAAAAAAAAACGTTTCTCGTAAGTTCCGGTGATATTTCGTGTAGGTAGCCATATTTTAAAATTAACTAGAGGATGGTTGCGCGGGCCTAACCCACGAACCATCGGATCTCACTGGATTACGTCCGATAATCTTCTCTTAGGCGACTGGCCCCAGTGCATTTTTTTTCGCGAACTGATGTTTCCATTGTATAAAATAAGCACCTCATATCTACTATCTCGTCACGGGGAAGTAAGTTATGAGAGGAAACCGCCACTATCAGGACGGTGGGCATGCCGAGAAATGAAAGTGTGCGAGGTCAACCGCCACCAAGGGAGGTGGGAGGAACTCCGTTGAACTGGCCAAAAGGCGAGCAAAACCCGAGCAATTCTAAGCGATCGCGAGTGCCGCGACGCATCACGCCATTGACGCGCGGGCTGGGCACGACGGAATATTTAATAACCTGAGTATCAGGCGTTTCTGGGAATACAGTACTATTGCTTACACTGAATGAATGCAAAAAACCCGGTTAATATAAAACAGCCTGATCCTGACCTATACTGACTACCTATATTTTAATAAAACAGACCCAAAACACATTTGTTTGGCCGCAGAGGATCAAGAGATTTCGCCCCTTTTTTACGCTACTTTGCAGAATGTAAACTCTGATAAATGCAGAATGATTGATAATTATCAATCTACCTGGTCAATTTCACTCCCCCCACCGATGCAACAGCGCAGTTTATTTAGAAGCTGCTGACTCCCTCATTCATCTATTGTTTCCATGAAAGTTAAGCCGATTTTTTTTCTTTTCAGTTTCAGAGAGGAGAGTTGGCGATTTACAATAATTATAATAGAGTGACAACGGTGAACCTGACAGCCGTGAATGCGAATATGAATACAACCAATAATTATAACGTGGAGCTTGAACAAAATGGAGGAATGACGGTTGTAGGAGACAATGCAAACATCAATAATTACCACCAGCTACCTCAGAACTAATCAAATGCAAATATATTCCATCTATTAGTAAAAGAATATATTTCCGCTGGTCGGTTTGATGTTGCATTCATTGAGGGGGGGGCAAGGGGGGTCCCGTCAGGAGTTCACGAATAACAATTTTGCGTTTCACGATTCACAAAACCAAAATTTTTTTTTTCACGATTCTTAAAATTAGAGGTCGTATAAAAGTAAAATTCATTACGTTAGTCCCATTTTGTAAAACAGATTGCTTCGATTAAGGTAACTAGAGTTTTACAAACCTATGAAAAAAAACTTTACTCGCACAGTTCGCCCACTACGCGTTGTTACTGCTCTTATAAGTGTAAGGGAATCATCGTCTGAGTGTACTGATGACTGACGTTACATCAAAACACTCAAAAGTCAAGTTAAATCAAGCCATCACATGCTTGTTAGGTCGTCTGACTAAATTTACTATTTATTTTCTATTTTCTTCTTTCAATTGATCCTTAATGTACGTGTAAACAATCGAGAACTTTGGCAGTTCATGTTTCGCGAAGTGTATACTACAATCACGATTCACAGAACAGTTTTTCAGTATATCACGATTCACGGACACCAAAAATGGTCGATCACGGCGTCACGAAAATACCCAGGATTAATTCCGTATTCAACAAGCAAAATTTTTCCGGATTCTAGAATCCGGATTCTCTTGCATAGGGCGACTTGAGAGTTGAAATCAGAATACAAACATGAAAGCGAAAAACGTAGCGTTTCAATTCATGCGCCCTAATGAATCTGTTTACAATTCCATCAATAACTATTCTGAAACTTCCATATCTTCATTTGGTTAGACAGATTGTTTGAAAAAGAAGATAAAAAATTGGTGTAATAAAAAATATTGTTTTTTCAATGACAGTGTATGAAGCTGTCAGTTATCTAGTCCACTCTGTTTAAAACAAGTATTGCCATTTAAGCGATTAATACAGATGATAGCTTTTTCTCTTTACGGTCTATTCTGTTCCATTCTGCACGGAGATAAGTCCTCGGTCCCGCTGAATGAGCGCTCTACTGACTGACTATTGCGAAGATGACTGCCCGTCCCGACCTTTGCGTGCTTCAGATTCACTCTATAGACACTGTTTTTTTTTGCAATAGTTCAGCGATCTCTGAAACCGTTTTAATGGACTTCTTCGTGTGTGCTGATTTGAAAATTGACTGGACAGGCTTTTGTCTCCACTCAACACAGGGGATAAATGTTTTTAATCATTTCCACTGAAACGATTCTCAGGTTCAGCCCATGATGGTATTCCTCCGTGTGTGTCCAAAAGATATGAATCTCCAAGGGAATGGGAAGATATGCAAAGTACCGCAAATAGTACCTCGAGGTAAGTGTTTTCTTGAAGCACTATAATCTTTTTCAGTAGCATGTTACGACAAAACCCACCCTTCCGATTTCCAAATTCTATTTGTACATCCTATTCTTAGTTATTCGTGTTTTGGACACATTTTTTTTTTTTTTTTTTTTTTTTTTTAAACAGAGATCTTTATTACCACTACATCACTTACAACACTTTCACTACAAAATTTAAGGTTACAAAAAATTACAATTAAGAATTAAGATTCCAACGATTAATACAACATACACTGCAACCAGGCTTGCTTCACGCATACGTAGATTAGATTATAATCATTTACAGTAAGGAGAGGAGAGGCTTCCATTGTGAAAGAAATTTTGCTTTTTGTCCTTTGGAATAAAAAATCGATCTTTGCACAATTAACTTGTCTTTAACGAATTCAAGAAAGTGATCAAAGCTTGGGGGTTTAATTTCGGTCCTTTGCAGGAAGATATGTCTCTTGCCAAGAAGGATATAATAGTTAAGGATTTGCCTTTTAGGATCTTCGGGATTATAGCCATACATTATACTTAAGTCATCAAATAGCAAACATTCACCACTGTGAGTTTTCCACCAGCTAATTACTTCAAACCAAAACTTTTGAATTACTATACAGTTAACTAGCATATGGGAGAGCGTTTCTAGGGAATCACAATGTATGCAGAGAGGAGAGTTTACGATTTTCATTCTGTGTAACAGAACCCCGTGTGGAAGAATATTATGAACAATCTTATATTGAAATATGCTTAATTTTGTTTCTTTAGTTATTTTAAATGGAAGCATATAAATAGAACTAAGTTTGGAACTGTCCAATCCTTGCCTGCATAGTCGAAGGCTAGCCAACGGTTCTACAAATTTCCTTTGAATAAGTATATTGCGAACCTTCTTGCTAGTAACCACGTTAATTTCCTTAGTTGTATTTTGTTCCATATCTTGATTGCTCATGATAAATCCCGGTCTCAAAGCGCACTTCCATCTATAAGGTATAGCTGATATTAAACCAAATAACTTAGTAAAAGGCGCCTTGAGGCCAGTTTTTAAAAGAAACTTATTAAGTGTGAGGAATCTGTTTTTTTCATCTAGTAGGTCTTTAATTCTAAGTATACCAGCTTCATGCCATTCTTTCCAATATACTGATTTACCGTCTATTAAAATATGCTTATTATTCCATAAGATTGCATTCTCAACACAGATTTCATTGTCCGAAGTTTGCTCTCGGACTTCCGCCCAGGTGTTAAGAACATCAGCGTAGAATATTGGTAACTTGTTTAGGCCTAGAAATTTTACATCATAATCACAATCAAAAATAAATGGCCCTCCAACATTTTTCAAATAAAATAAAGGAATTAACATCCACTGATCCTCTACACCATTCTTCATTCTTTGAACCCAAGCACTTTGTAACGACTTGGATATAGTCTCAAATTCTGGTAAATCCAGCCCTCCTCTTTCTTTTGGACCTATAAGAGTATCCCTTTTTATCTTTGGTTTCTTGTTATTCCAGACAAAATCTGTAATCAATCTATTAGTGATATCTATATAATGAGGCGGTGTATGTATGCACGAACTTACAAAGATAAGTTTCGATAGCCCTAATGTTTTGGCGATTGTTATCTTGCCATAAAGTGAGAGATCTCTTTGAGACCATATATTAAACAGCTTTTGAATTTTACATATCTTTTGTGAAAAATTTTCCTGTTCGCAAAGTTTTAGATTGTAAGAGAATGATATCCCTAAGGCGGAGATAGGCCTTTGTGGCCACTGAACTCCAAATAGTGTATCAGTCCTATTTGCGTTTTTTCCAAGCCACATTGCTTCAGATTTACTTTGGTTAAGCTTTAAACCGCTGCAATCTTTAAATAGGTCTAATAACTCTAACAGTTTCCCAAGCGACTCTTTATCTTTGCAAAAGGAGGTGGTGTCATCGGCATATTGAGATAATTTTATTTCTTTGTTTAGGACTCGAATTCCCTTTATATGTTCGTCAGCTCTTATTGAGCAAGACAGTAATTCTGCGGCTAAAATGAACAACAAGCCAGACAAAGGGCAGCCTTGTCTTACTCCTCTCTTTAAAGTAAATGACTCGGAGGCGAAGCCGTTGTTTATTATGCAGCTAGAAATGTTTGTGTACAGAGTTTTCACCCAAGTCTTAAAGTCGGGTCCAAATTGAAAGGTATCTAGAGCTTTAAATAGGTACTCCCATTCTAAACTATCGAATGCTTTTTCAAAATCGATGAATAAAGCAATTCCCTCTATGTCCTGGTCAACGGTGAAATTGAGGATGTCGCTTATAAGTCTGATGTTTTCACCGATAAATCTTCCCTCTACGTAACCAGTTTGTGTGTTATTTATAACTGCCGATAGAACCTTTTTTAGTCTGAGAGCTAAAGCTTTAGAGGCAATCTTATAATCCACATTTAAAAGTGAAATAGGTCTCCAATTTTTAAGATACAATAAATTTTTGTTCTTTTGGAATAAGACGTATGATGCTTTGTCTTTGAGAAATTGACAGCTCACCTTTATGGAATCCATAATTAAAACTGTTTACCATTATCTTGCCTAATTGACTCCAGAAGAAGCTGTAAAATTCGGCAGTAAAACCGTCATTGCCAGGGGATTTGTTTTTTTGGAAACATTTTAAAGCATTCCAGCACTCATTCTCCGTCAGCAAGCCTTCGCAGTTCTTTCTTTGTTCATCATTCAGCTTTTCTACCTTGTCATTATCGAAGAACACTTTGAATTTAGGATCGTTTACTTGAGGATTTTGCGAGGAATATAAGGATTGATAAAATCTTTTTGTTTTGGACACATGATAAAGGTATTTCTTGTACTTTTTTCTGTGATGTTACCGCTTTTAGGGAGCGTTCAATTAAACTTAACCTAAAAAAATTCAAGAATAATTTTCGGGTAGATTGCCTCTTTTTAGCGAGTAGGGTTTGATACATTTTTGACTCATTAAAAGGAGAGAGTAAGGATGAACCATTGGGTTTAATTGGGCTAACGGTGAGCACTATCGCTGTTGTGCTATACTGACTCGCACTGCTACGTCTAGGGGTATCCATTCGCCTCCTACACCCTGGCCAAAAGAATCCGCCTCCGCTACCGCCCATGGTAATACAGAACGTTGAGGAGGACATGGGAGGGGAGCATACCACTGAACGCACGGGCTGGAGTTTATACAAGCAAATTCACGATCAACTAATTTGTCATCTGCGGCAAATCAGCAACTTTACAATGTTGAGCCTTAAGAAGAATTCACAGCCAGAGATAATTCATCATTCAGAGCAAGTTTTCGCTATAGGTTTTTTGATAACGACCTGCGTTCCGTTTCTCGAACGTTCCGGTCCCCTCTCGGACCGGTATTCATATTTTAGAAACAGATCCTAGAGAATGGTTTGCTCGGGCCAAGCTCATTAACGGATGAACCATTATTTTTTTTTGACGGGGCGGGGAGGGGAGGGGTGGAAAATTTTCACTTGCAAACATTTTTTTATATGCGGCTCCTACTGCAAACATTTTTTTTTGTCTCCGTCTTCCTGCAAACACTTTTTTACTTGCATACAATTTTTTTCAGTGATTACAGCCTCCGCAAACAATTTATCAGTTTATCAATTTATTTTACCAGTTGGGTCTCCTCTAAATAAGGACATGTTTAGCCCGACCTCTTCCGGGGAAGAGGTTGTGGTAAACCTGAAATTTGAAGCATGTTCTTAGTTTCTATGAAGAAAATTCTGTACACTTGGGCAAATAAGATAAGTCAACATTCTGGACCCTCTTTGGAGACATAGGTGCCTTATGACTCCAACTGCAAATTATGTCATGGTATGCACATTTTACAGTAAGTTCTTAGCTGCAAAGTATATTCCCTCAGAAAATGAGAACCTCTTAAAAACCTGAATAACCTAAATTCAGTTGTGATAATTACCGTTTGCGTAAGAACCTGTTTAGGCTAACTTGGGAACTGATGCATGTTCTTTCTCGCCAGTTTTTAATGTCTACGATGCTTACAAATCCAAAACAAAACAAAGTCAGGCAAAACAAAGTCAAGCAATGAGTGAATTATCCCAAAGCCAAGCGCAACACGGACGCAACATCGTTGGATCATTCATCTTGCGTTCGTTTCCTGTTGCTTGCGAGTGGTTGGGAGTTGTTGAGCAAAGTTTGGAACCGGTCAAACTTTTGAACCAACAACTCCCAACATTTCTTTTATTCCGTGCTTGCCGAAGGGTTGCGTAACAATGTTGGATCCGTTTGCACAGCTCTTCCAACAGCAGGGAGCTTTAGCTTTGACGACGGCAACGGCAGTAAAAACGTCGCTTTTGCAAAGAATTCCCGTTTTTCAAACACTGTCGCGTTTATTCCAATTTGCTGAAAATGGCAAATGTGGGCGAATTTCCCTCGAGTTGATTTCTTGAAGAGCGCACTCAACTTTATAGAGCGAAAAGGAAATTCGTCGTCGCTTGTTTACGTCCTCCATAAAACTTCCAATAGGCCATTTTACAGTTATGGATGGAAACGAGGCTGACGGTGACCTTGTTTTGATACAAACCTTTCCGCTTTATTATGTAAATAAAGTTATTCTTACGCTAACTAGTATTTTTCAAGGACAATTTCCATAACAAAGCGAAGGGGGTTTGTGTCGAAACAAGGTCAGCCTCACATTCACTCGAAGGCTAGGGTACTAAGTCCACAACTATAAAATGGTCTATTAGGCAATTTCACGTCGTAGTCGTGCAAGGACGGTAAAGAAATGTACAAAAATGCGTGGTGCACGTGCAAAGTTGTTGTTTTGCGTAATAAACCTATTGCTTTTTTGACGTCCTCCGTGTTGCCGTGGCCGTTGTCGTTGCTAAAGCCCCCTAATTGTTGGGGTCACGCACGCGCCCGAAGATAGCTATCGAATTCAAGTTAACAAAGTTTTATGGGTTGTATCCTTCCCACGATGCTCTCGAGGTACTAACATTGTTGGGACTTGTTGCATCCGTTTGCACACCACTGCCAATAAGGACGCAACCACAACTCCCACCATTGTTGCCCGGGGGGGGGGGGTACTGCCATATATGAGCTATATAGGTATGTGCCGCTGTGAGGGGTATGGTTTTCAAGCAGTTTACTCTAGGATAGGGTTTATGAATCAGAGAGTTTGTGTCTAGAATAGGGTATCATTTTTCAGGAAACTGAAAAGTTGGTTGAAGATTTTATCTAGACTAGGTAAACAGCTACTCTAGGATAGGGGGATTTGGGGAGTTTACTCTAGTATAGGGTAGCAAAATTCAGCTGAACTAGCTGTAAGGGTTCCAGGGTCCCAGCAGCACATCCCCACCCCGAAATTCCTAAAGTACCCCCCCTGGCTTTGTTGTCCCAACAATGTTGGGAGTTGTTGCGTCTTTTTGCTCAAGTGTTATCAGCGCGAGAATAAAATGTTAGCTGCTGTGATGAAATGTTAAATCGTGTTACAATTCAAATCAAGCCTCATCTTGATAGTATGACATGAGGGAGTTTCCCAAATCTCACTCTGAGGAGAGCTTTGGAGCGTGGTGTGTTAATTTATTCACTTTGGGCTAGGTGAATATTTATTACAAACTTTAACATTACGTTGTGGAATTTGGGGGTAATTAAGCCAAGAAGAAAGTGAGGACGCAAAAACGGTGTTGCCTTTAGGAAAGAAGTCTCAGCGTTACAAGAAGCAAACCATCAGCATCGGGTTTGGTTATAAAGAGCTGAGGGAATTATATCGAACACCTCTGGACAACTACATTGCAAAATGATGCGCATTGTTGTGAACTTGTGCCTCACTTTCTGTTTCCTTGTGGAAGAATCGTCCGGAGGGCTGAACTTCACACGGCTGCCAGGTAATCGATAGGTAACTTGCAACAACTTTTCGTTGTAGGCTTAGACTAATTTAACGGACCCATACGCCGTGCATGGAATTATTTACACTAGACTGACAGTAAAATGGGAACGCTAATGGAAGCTCTCATTTGGAAACGAATTATTTATGGATACTTTCAGTACTGAAGTCCCGAGTTAATTACAAACTGACTTGTTTTATGTAGTGACAAATTGCTGTCTGTGTGTAACACACTAGTTCATGCATTAAAGTCGAAGTTAATTGTCGCAGGTGAAAGAGATAGTCTTCTCTAGTTGTTAAAAAGGCAACGGTAAAGCAAGCATATTTTACGTTGATGGTCTTGACAGTTATTCAACAGATAAACTTGAGGTCGACGATGCGCTCACTTTACCCCCTCTCTCCATTAATGCTAAGGGTATTTAAAGCTAGTTAAAGTAACAAAAAAAGGGATGATATCGGGACCTCGTGCACCGAAGGCAGCTGACCCTAAGCAACTGCGCCATATCCTTGAGCCGGAGCTAATAAAGCTTGCACTCCCCTGGGTTGTCAACGATAACTAGGCCTGCAGGAGTAGGAAAACTTGTTCTTCAGGTTAGGTGGTCTTAGATTCATTTAGCAGAAAGAGATTTTCCTTTGTGAGGTGTATAATCTACAGCGATCGACAGTGCTCTTTAACGGTCATACCCAGACAGGCAGCATGAGATCTGCGAACTCATGCCTGTTTTCTAATCCCTTCGGAATATTGGCAGAGAAAAGATAGAATTGTTGTTTCAAGTAAAGATTCGAGCTTTAAAGGCACGTTTTGTTTCTTTCAAGGGGTTCTAAAAGTACCAAAAGCGTTCTTTCTGTCTTAAACATTTTGATACGTTCCTGTCACGCTTGTTGTCACGCGTTCGTCACGGACATCACACCAATAACAATAGAATAGGCCATTTTCTAGTTTCCCCGGGCCTCTGTTTCGAAACGAGGGTAGGTGCTCAGCCCTTGATATGGAAATCATTTTTCATTCTCATGCAAGTAAAACTCATTTTCACAAGAAAGTTCGTGCACCTAGCCTCATTTTGAAAGTGAGGGTTTTTGGAACTCGGAATTTGGTGAACGAAAGTGAAAGGTTAAGACCCAGGTAAATCCCTTGATGCTCGCAAAGTTTTCGGCGGCGCCTTCTTCTTTAGGTACAATGGCTGGAGTTTTCGAGTTTTGGTAATTTTAGCTGACTTAGAGTTCGTATGGAAGATCAATATGATTGTTTCCACGAACTGTTTTTTGGCGCCAGTGTAGTCTTCATCTCTTAACTTCATAATTCAAGTTTTATGCTTCAGTCACAGCAGGACCCAGTTTAGTGTCTAAAGGTGCTGTGCAGATTGAAAGTATTGTACAGGGGCACCCAACGACTGTTTTCTGTAAAATATCTGTTCAGAGAAGCAAATATTGCCTTGAATTTTCTTTTACTTGAGGACGGCTAAAAACTTCAAGATGACCGTTCTATTCATGTACAATTTTCCGGGCTCATCTAATAAATCCGCTATGATTTTCTGAATTTTTTTCATTCCCAGGTTAGGCGATTTTTCGTTGAAAAAAGGAAACAAAATTTTCGGATCAAAAAATGTGATGGAGAGACGAGGAATCAGAAAAATTCTCACTTTCGTGATACGTTAAATGTATTTAAAACTTTCGGGAAAATAATACTGAAGCCCTGGTAATTTTGAAAAGCTCAAGTTCCCCTAGGATGCCGACCGAACAGATACAAATTTCATAACGCCGCCAGGAGCCTAAAGAGCCTAAAGAGTGTTTTCGATGTGTGCAGGAGGAAACCATCTTTCGGTGCCTTGACTGCAATTGTAGCACGATCGATGGGTCAAAATTTGTATTCAGCCACAAAAGGACAGTAATATATTTACGAAGATATTACCGGTAATTTACTAAAGCGCAGTGTTGTTACATCATCGTGATATGCCACTGCATGGTTCTAATGCTTCAAGATAAATGTGATAATCATCATCGTCATCATCATCATCATCATCATCGCCATAACCACAACCACACAACGATAAAAATCTGTATCAAATTTCCGATTAGTGGGACTCAGAAACAATTCTCTTTGTCGCCACACATGCCTCTGGATATCTTACATAAGAGGGTCCCGCACACTCAGTTTGTACCTCATAATGGAATAATCCTGTTAATGCTATTAAACCCAGAGGGGAGGAAAGTTCCTATTCAGTGCCTGTAAATTGATTAAAAAAACAAAAACTTGCTGATAACTTTAAACGGTGCTTAGTAAAGTTATCACAGTCTCCTCTCGGTCTAACTTGAGTTCGCGGGTAAATTGCTTATTTCCCTATTGCAAAAACAAGCTTATATCATGTTCTTTTTTGTGCCAGGCATCTTTTTTTACTGAATTTATGCATTCTGGCTCTGACAGGTGACCCAATTCTGGCCTCATGTCCGGCGCTATCGCCACCTTCCTTCAAGCAACCTTCTTGCAAGCTACCATGCAGAAAGGGTCAATTTGGATGCGCAGATGCTCCACCGTGTATCTCTATGGGGAAGCGTTGTGATGGTCACACCGACTGTATCAATGGGGACGATGAACCTTTCTCTTGCAGTGAGTATATGATAGAATGTTACACGAAAACTATTCCAATCTCTTAGCAACAATGGCTAAAGAGCAAAATTTTTTGATGTGAGAAATACAGTCGACTCCCGATAATTCGAATCTTCAAGGGAAATAGAAAAAAGTTCGAATTATCGGTAAAATTATATGGAGAATGATCTGAAGGGAAATGAAAATTACTTCGAGTTAACGGGAGGTTCGAACTATAGAGGGTTCGAGTTACCGGGAGTCGACTGTATAAATATTCCCAGGGAGCAGAGGAATTAAGTTCATACTTAGTAAATTAACCTCTTCCGACGGCTGGTATATTGATGATTATCGAAAATAGAGCGCTATGATTAGCTAGGAGCTTCGCTTCATCCCGCTGTAATCACCGCTTCATCCCGATCTTCGCCTCATCCAGCTATAAATTGATCAATGTAATTATATTGAAACAATTAGTCACCTCAGGCGACTAATTGTTAAATAATCCCCGCGGCTGAGAGATTGTCCGAAAAATAAACATTTCGCTTCGAGGGCAAATGTAACGATATACCAGCAAGCCAGAAAGGGGTTTATATTTATTTTATAATCCTCTGATTAGTTTTTTCATCTATAACATGTTGGGGGAGAAAGAAAAACAAAAAACAAGATGTGAGCGCGCGTGCGAATGACGCAAACAAGCATATAGATTGGTTGTTTTTTTTTATTGAAACTGTGATTGGACCAGCGGTGCTTTCCATTATACCGGATCGACCGATCCGAGACCACTCAGATTAACCAATGGGAAAATGGAACGCGTCCGAACCAAAAGTCCGACCGAATTGATTGTTGGGTAATGTGTAACTTCCAAAATTCGTCTTTGACCTTCATGTAGCTTGCAATAAGTAAAGAGACGTGTTTGTCCTCCCATCTTTTCAGGGCTTTGGTCGAACTAGTCGAGGTTGTTGGAATGAGCTGTGGATTATTTTGCACAGACTGTCAAAAGCCGTAAGGGCTAGGGTCACATGCTGTTAAGACTTGAGAAAAACGCGGGAAAACATCGTCAAAATGCGGAGAAGCCAGTGATATATTTGTCTTTAAAAACTGACGAAAACCAGAATAAAAAACAAATTAAGATGCACTGCTGTACCTGAGCCTTGTGTGCAACTGTGCAAAAGGAGAAAGTTTACGTCTTGCGTCTGAAGCTTACACACACTGCACTCGTAAACACTTATATCTGAACTATCTGCCATTTTGACTGTGGTAACGAGCTGGAGCGGGACTGGAAACTCGAGGAAACGCAAAAATCTGAAAACGCAACAACAATTTTCGATCGGACTGGACCGACCGGTCAAAGACGACCACCTCTGGAGGTGGACCACTTTGACAGGACAAATTTCCACCTGGTCCGAACTGTTCCATTTCCGTTTGAACCGAAATTTCCAGGAAATTTTGGCACGGGAAAGCACCCCAGGGCTTTACAGGCTGTTATGTCAAATAAACTGTCGCAACGCCCCGAAGATCAAAACAAGAAAGCAACGCGTTTTTATTTATATTTTATCGACAGCGCTCTTTGAAAACTACTAAAAAAACCGTTTCTTATGGATAAGCAAAGAGAATCCAACCATATCACTAGCTAACTGCCGCTGCAAAGGCTAGAAAAGTAATTACAACTATGAAACACAGAAACTGAAAAATCTGGAACAGTTGAAGGATTTAAGTTTAAGTTTTACATTAGTGGGCTGTTCACTTGGATTTGTTGCTGTGAATGGTAGAAGCTGAGCTAGTCATAGAAAGAAAAGGTGGAAGAAATAATGAGCCCCACCTATAAGAACGGGTTGAACTGACCGGATTTACTTGAGTTAAACTTATAATTCGCCAGATAATCGAAGATGGCTCGCACTTTAGTTAATTGTGCTCTGTACGACTCGATCAATATATCGCTTTCTTGGCCCGCTACACTTTTTCTCTCTCTTCTCCATGCTTATTTCTTTAACACTTCGAAGTATTATTATCCATAGCCGACAGCTATGACTGCGTAAAAAACTGTATTCAAGTTTCTGTTCAAGTGCATAAATATTGCATTGCATTGCAATGCTGGAGCAATGTTGTAACCATCCGAAATCGCAACAATGTTGCAACGCTGTGTTGCCCTAAAAATCGTCGTTGCGAATCGTCTCGTGTAACATCACTTTAAAGGTTGTGTGCAGATTGAAAGTACTGTACGGGGATACCCAACGACTGTTTTCTATAAAATATCTGCTCGGAGAAGCAAATATTGCTCAGAATTTTCTTTTACTTGGGGACGGCTAAAAACTTCTCGATGACCGTTCTATTCATGTACAATTTTCCGGGCTCTTCTGATAAATCCCCTATGATTTTCTCGTGACGTTTAATTTTTTACATTTCATTCCCAGGTTAACCTAAAATTTTCGGATTGAAAATGTGATGGAGAGAGGAATCAGAAAAATTCTCATTTTCGAGATACGTTAAATTGTATTTAAAATTTTTCGGAAAATAATAGTGCAGCCCTGGTAATTTCGAAAGTTCCCCTAGGATGCCGACCGAACAGATACAAATTTCATAGCGCCGCTTAGAATGGATAGCCTAAAGAGTGTTTTCGATGTGTGCAGGAGGAAACCGTCTTTCGGTGCCCTGACCGCAATTGTATAGCAAGATCGATGGGTCAAAATTTGTATTCAGCCAGAAAAGGACATAAAGCAATATATTTATGTAGATGTTAATTTACTAAAGCGCAGTGTTGCTACATCATCGTCATATGCCGTTGTATGGTTCTAATACTTCGAGATAAACATGATAATCATCATCATCATCGTCATCATTATCATCATCATCGACATAACTACAACCGCACAACGATTAAAATCTGTATCAAATTTCCGATTAGTGGGGCTCAAAAACAATTCTCTTTTCCGCCACACATGCCTCTAGGATATCTCACATAAAGAGGTTCCCGCACACCCAGTTTGTACGTCATAATGGAATAATCCTGTTAATTCTATTAAACCCAGAGGGGCGGAAAGTTCCTATTCAGTGCCTGTAAATTGATTAAAAAACAAAAACTTGCTGATAACCTTAAACGTTGCTTAGTAAAGTTATCTCTGTCTCGCCTCGGTCTCACTTGAATTCGCGGGTAAATGGCTTATTTCCCTCTTGCAAATATGACAAGCTTGTATCATGTACTATTTTGTGCCAGGCATCTTTTTTTACAGAATTTATGCATTCTGGCTTACAGGTGACCCCTGGGTAGAAGACCAAGAAAATGGGAGTCTACGTTGTCTAAGTTTGGCCACATGTCCGGCGCTATCGCCACCTTCCTTCACTGACCAACCTTGTTGGCAGCTACCATGCAGAAAGGGCCAATTTCGATGTGCGGATGCTCCACCGTCTATCTCTTTGGGGAAGCGTTGTGATGGTCACAACGACTGTATCAATTGGAAAGATGAACCTTTCTCTCACTGTGAGTATATGATAGAAACCATTCCAGTCTCAGCATAATAGCTAAAGCGCAAAATTTTCTGATGTGAGGAATATAAATATTCGCAGAGAAATTAAGCTCACACA